CATGTTCTACAAGATAAATAAACTGACTCGGCTTCAATCTCTCTCTCCCTGCTTCTGGCTTGCCTGTTTGGTAATTACATGATGGAGCAAGAAGGGTCCTGATGGGGGTGAATCGGATAGACATAGGTCTGAGGCATGCCTCCACCATACACGGGCCAAACAACCGGCTGCACTGCTGGCTCTTCTTTCTTTTCTCCCACAGCTTCTACACTTGCTAACTCTGCGTAGCCTACTTTCTTTCTCAGCAAATTTGTAAGTTGTACTGCATCAACTCCATCGCCCACCACCTCTATCTGGCTCTTATCTTGCCCTCCTATACCAGCAGATTCAACACCTACAGAATCACAAAAAGATATATAAACCCGTCAAAAAATTGATCATCTGAATTTTTCCCCAAATGCAAGGTTTCTATTGGGTATTCCGATTCTAAAACTTGTGTGCATGGAAGGTTTTGTTCACCTGAAAGCCCAACTGCAATCTGCAAGGCTTTGGTGCGTGACTTCGGTCCATTCCCCGTCACCTTGATCACTATCTTTTGCTGCAATGATTTAGCATAATTAATCATTAACAAGAAAGTAGCATACATAATATTTTTACGAACAAGCTAGTAATATACTTGTGTTCTGATCACAAATTCATACCTTCATGGTCTTGGTTGTTGGAAAGATGGTGATATGTAGGGAATGAGGAGCTGTTTACAGTCCAGGAGACACCAAAAGTGATGGTTTTGGTCTTTTGGGGAGGTTTTGAAGAAACAGAGGGAGTAAACTAATGCTCTAGTTGTTTGAAGATGGAAATCTGGATGGCAGTTCTTGCTATTTATATAGGAGTGCATGGGCTAGAGAGTATGCTTGAGGACAGGCTCGGAGACAAGTAATTTTTTTTTCGAGCCCCTTCTTTAATAATATTTATAGTTTTAGCTTAAATACTAAAACAATTAAAATCTTAACCTCTTATTTTCAAGTTCCGCCCCTGCGTGAGGAGATTTCTGTGCAAGTGCTCAAGGAATCTTGATTCCGATTCGCTATTCTTTCAGTTGACAAAGTCAACACACGGCATTTCCTTTGGGGTCCTGTTTATCAATGACCTAGCTCAGATGACCTAATTAATTTTAATCACCAAATGAAAAGAAAAAAAAAAGAAAGAAACAAGACAAGGTGGCTAGATTTGTGTGGGATATTAGAATAGACAGCTCAGATAGTAGTTTATTTTAAAGTGTTTCTATTTAAAAATAAATTAAAATAATAATATTTTTTATTTTTTAAATTTATATTTGATAGTCACATCTAAAATTATTGAAAAACCTAAATTAAAATAAAAAATTAATTTTTTTAAATATTTTTAAACCCAAAAATATACTATCCCTTTTAATCTCTACACCATGCTTGTATTCGTAACTGTTTAATTTTTTTATATTGTTTTTATATATTAATTTTAAAAATAAATTTTTAAATAAAAAATATTTTGAATCATCATTGTCAATATTATAATCACAAAAACACCCTCCAAAGTTGATGTTTTTTTTTTTAATTTGTAAAACACGAATCCTGCTTACAATTGGTCTCGGCAGTAAATATTTTCAAAACCAAGTTGTGGCATGTCATAGTTCGCGTTGCTTTCGGACCCAAGTGTTTTAGTTGATTGAAGATGAGTAAAAAAGGGATCCACAGTTCATCTTGCAAGCAATACCGAGGAAAGAGTCTGCAAACCACATCGATTTTTAGTCTTTAATAACATCGAACCCTCCTCTTGTAAAGACGACTTATTAGTCTTTGTATTATATATCATCGTCATGCTTGCATTACGGGTCAAATGAATTATTATTTTTAATATATAAAAAAAAATTATCAAGTTATTGTTGACATTTTTCTAGTATAAGAAAATTATAACTGCGTGAAGGTTCATTCAATGAGATATAATTAATTTAATAACTCAAAGACAATTGGGTTAAACGATTAGGAAAAATATTAAAATTACAATATATTAAATTTATTTAGATCAATTCAGGTTAATCCGTAAAATTCATAACTTGGATTACAAGAACATGATAACTCTATATAAAACAAATTAAAATAAATTATAAAACTTAATTTTTAGAAAACTCAATATTAAAGAATAAAATAAAAAAAGTAAAAAAAAATGATATGAGTTAATATGTTAAATCTATGAACCGGGTCATGAGATCAAATAACCTCATGAAAAGTAAACAAAAAAAAAATTTCAGTCAACCCTGGTTAACTTTCTAATCTTATAACCAAATTCATGAGGTTGTGACAACTTTATTGAAAGCAAATTATAAAATCTAGTTTTTAATAAATTCATTGTTAAAGATTAAAATAAATAAAAAAATTAATATAAAAACATGATACAATCAAACGACCTGAATCATAAAATCATGATAATATTATAAAAAAATTAAAATAAATAATGAAGCATAATTCATAATCAACTTCATGTTGAATGATTAAATTAAAAAATACCAATTAAAAAAAGTAAAAAAAAAAACCTAGAGCCAACCCGTTAAATTTGTAATATAAATTATAATATCAAAATAATTTTATAAAAATAAATTAAAATAAATTATAAAGTCAATTTCAATTCAAGGTTAATTATTTCTTGACGTCCTGCTTTCCGAGGGCTTAATTATTTCTTGCTGCCATTCGTATGAGATCAAGGCTTAACTACCTGTTATTGTCCTCGCAAATTTCGCACAGCACTAACGTTTTCCTCCTATTTGAGCCCTTTTAGAGCTATTTGTTCTTCAATTAGGAATCCCTTCTCTAAAAAGGAAAATCTATTCATCAAGTCGGGAAGATTCGGTCAAATGGTTTAAAGTTCGTATTTTAGTGACCAGATCTTATCCCAACTCACTCTCACTCTTCTCATCTTTAATGTTTTGCTATAATCTATGAATGATTTTATCATATCTGTTCCACGGTCGTCTAAAATCTCCTCATTGATGTATTTAATTAATTGCATCATTAGGTGTTTATATCAATGAAAAATAAATAAATAAATAAAGTTAACAACACTCAACAGTTCATGGAAGTTTTTCTCCTTGTTTTATACACGTAAAAATCAAAAGAAAACTTTTTTTTAATTAAACAAAAAGAAATCTTATTAATTATATTTGAGTTCGAATATGGGTAATATGGGTAGAATATTGACTATACAACATTGCAGTGTATGGCATTCAGTTAACTGACAACAGACATCCTTCTTGATTTTCTAATATATATATACATATATGTGTGTGTGTGTACAATCCTGCCGGTTCATGCAATATAATGTATGTGTTGTTAGCAAACACTTGAAGAGAGGGGGAGACAGAGCAATAGAGAGAGAGATGGCAGGGAGGGGCCTTTGCAGATGGATCAGCCCTAAAGAGAGGCAGGCTTGTATTCAATATTTTTGAACCGAAATCCATCACACATAAAGAATGAAAGAGAAACGAATTTGACAAAAGAAGAAGAGATCTCTAAAAGTTTTGTTGTGTATATAAGGGATTCCTATTTCTAAGACCATAACCGTTGTAAAAATACTATACATTTTCCCCGTTGTAAAAAAATATTCACCAGCTTTTCATCAATATATATAATATAGTTGATACAATTTTTTACTCACAAGATTTATGCAGATGCTGTCTTTAATGGTTAAAAAAAATAAAAAAAATCTATGTCAAGTTCTTTGTACCCAATTTTTTTATGCTCACAATAATTTGGATAGAAATTTTTGCCAAGCTAATTTTCTATAGTACCATAGAAATCAGGGAAGTAGGACTATCAATTTCTCAACAAGTCTTCCCTTTACAGTAAGAGTTTACAATAAGTACTCTGATGAAAAAACATTGGCGCACTAGTAGTTTTATAGTAAAGATAATGTGTTATTCAATTTTCAATACAAACATATCTTAACGGAGTAGACTCTTGGTAAACTCAATGTTCAATGCTTGAATGCAATCTTCGGCTGCTACAACTCTGCTAACCTCTCCAACAAGCTTATCTCCTGTGAATCCAAATAGAAATTCAATAAAAAGAAGAGACATGTGAAAGAGAAGGAAATATCAGAAAGGTTGGATGCAATTATGCAAACAAGGGCATACACAACATAAGAATTAGCCACTTTCAACGTGTTATGGAAAGATTGAAAGAATTGGGTCCAAAAGATCAATTAGAAAATAGTTCTGATATTATCTATTTCATGATCAACTTGAGAAAACTAAAGCGCTAGACTTTTTTCACAAATCCATTTTGGTGTGATGAAAAAAGAATGGATATCAGAGGGTAATGGTCAAGAAAAAACACCAGAGAAATAAGCCAAAAAGAGTGTTGATGCGTATTATAAGCCAATAGCAGCATTATCCTTAATCTCGTATAAAAACATTGTTGTATCATGTTTGTTTAAACCAAGGAATGTAGTTTTATGACAAAATCATTGTTGGAAAAGGATGTCCTAAATTCCAAGCTGCACTCTTCACATCTCAAATGAACACTAAGAAGACATCCATTCCCATTCTGCCGATCGTTTAGCTATGACACTGGACACCAGTCTCCTTTCCTGATAGTATCTTATTCACCAGAATGTAAAGCATGTGCCTCAATGGCCAGTGGGTGATAGTTCAATAGTGATTCTGCAAATTATTTCAATAGCGCCTCAAAGGCAGGTCTCATGACTTGGGATCCTGTTTCCATGTGCTCTGTCACTCCTGATATGTTTGACATGTGTAATCCTTAAACAAGTACTGTAATATTTGATTGCTTGTGAAGTGTTGCACCTGACGTCACATGCTTGTTATTGTTTTTCTTTTAGGTGGCTACCAGGGGGATGGTGCTCCTACTGTTTCTGCCTGACTTCACATGTTTCTGCCCAGTGATGCGGTCAGCCAAGCATTGATAGCAGAATCATTTAGTGGGAATACCCAAAGCTTTTGATTTGTTCACCACTTGTGATCATATGATGTCAGGAACACACATCCACCACTAACCCATTCCAGATCATATGAGTGAACTTTTTTCTGGTCTGAAACGAGAGGAATAAATCCCATGAACCTTTCCGTATTTGATTGCTAGAATTGATATAATTTTTCTCATGTTTTCCTGACAGCAATGGATATATCTTCCGACCTTACAAATTTAGCAGGACTCCAGTAGCAGTGATATCTGCTGGAGTAAAATCCATTTTAGATATTCCCAGAACCTTATAATATTTGGTAGATATCATCTTTTTTTACCCCATTTATCATCAGAAGCAATTCAACTTCAGCTGTTCATATCAGTCTTAAATAAACAGGAAACTCGGGGTATTTGTGTTGCCACTTACAAGACCAATGAGTTCCCTGCATTTTTCACGGAGAGAAGTGGTTGCAAGGTACAACCTTTCTCATGGCTCACATTCTCTTTTCAAGCTCCATCTGATTTCAATTTGCAAAATGTGAAAAAGGCTAAATCTATTTGGTTCTTTGCAATGTATACCCATTTTCTAGGATTGCATCACTTGACAACTTTCTGCCTGAGAAAAGAAAAGGAAAGGAAAAAGAAAAAAGAAAGTGTGATTACAAAGGTACATTGACTGGTTTATGTGGAGTGAGGTGTCTCGGTTCTCCACCTAGAATCGGGAAGCTGGACCAAATCGACCATATCAGTTAGGCTCGCTGCACCTACCAGCTACAATAGCAGAGTCCACTCTACCAATATTACAGGCTACTTTAGTCTACATAGAGCTAAATTTATCAAAATCTTCGAGGAGCAGAATCCAGGAC